ACCTATATCACCTGATACAGCATGAATACATCATCTGTACTGACCATATTCTGGAATGTTTCGTACATACCCCTGAAATGACGCTCATCCGGATACTGATAAGCTGGCACACCAGTACGTATCACCCGTTTTGTATTATTTCAGGTGATACATCAAACAATGCTAAAAACAATAACTTCTGAGAATCAAGAGTAAGAAATCACAGTAGAGATAAATCCATATGTACATCTTGAGTAAAGATATTTTAAAAAAGAAATTCTATATTTGTTGCATATCACTAAATCAGGTAAAAAAAATACACATCCATAACCAGCGTTCAAATAAGAACAATCAGAATACCATATCCAGTGTAAATATACGTGAGGAAGTGAACATACCAGACATTCAGTTTGACCTTCTTTTGTCTCTGTATTGCATGAGAGAAGAGGATCCTCTATAGAGTCAACTTTCCTGAAAATATAGCAGATGTTTGGCTTTATTGTTGCCACTTGCAAGCATAAATAAAATACAATAAGCATTGTTTCTACATAAGATTGATTAAAGATGTTTGTGGCCATGAGACAAAACAGGTGAAGCATCAAAGATATTGCTGAGCTGATTGCCTAGCAAAAATCATTTTCTATAGCTATATAACCAAGTTTGTTGGTTTGAAGCTTAAGCACTGCTTATATGAATGCAGAATATGGGGACAGCCTCTTTTGGATTCTTACTAAACTTCAAAAAGCTAGTTGTTTACTTGGGACTAGGGCCAATGATCTTAGCGATATTTATGAAATTACAATTACTTTCAGCTTTCTACCTGGAGATGATCTCTCATGGCAAAGGAACGAACTCTAGGATCCTTTTTGTTGTGGATGAGAATGGCACATACTCAGTGTAAGTTGAGGTTGAACATAGGTACACAGGACTCTCCACAACCTTCAATTCAAGATCCCATTGTACGTCTACTTGATCATTTGTAAATTATGCAAGATTGCCATGATAATTTAACTGCACCAACCATCATTTCAGAGTATTAGCTACAATTTTCTGTATTAGGTTGAGCCTATGTATATAAGAGGATTTTAGTTATCAAATTGATCGGCAGAATCCTACAAGGATATTTTTAACTCTTCCTTTTTTCTTATGATATGGAGCAAGGTTCGCAATACCGTACCGTACCGGCGTTTCGACGTTCGCTCGGTACGGTACGAAACGGTATACCGAGCGGTATATATATATATATATATATATATATATATATATATAACTCGGCGACGTCGCCTCTCTCCTCCCAGGCGGGGCGACGTCGCTTCGGCGACGTCACCTCGTTTATATATATATATATAAATTAATATATATAAAAGATTATATATATATATATATGTATTATTTATTTATTTATTTAAAAGGCGACGTCGCCGAACGTCGCCTTTTTCTAAAATATTTATATATAAATATAAATAAATACATATATATATATATATATATATATATATATATATATACATGCAATTCTAGCTAAGTCCGTTACTTTGGTGCAAGGGTGCTTCACGACTTAGGTAATTCCAGTTAAGTCCATGACATTACCGCAAGGGTGCCTTACGACTTAGGCAATTCCAGCTAAGTCCGTGACATTATGGTATTATCATGGGCAAGCAATTCGAGCAAATAACGAGGAAGTCTTGCAATCTCGCTATGACGAAGCATTGTAGCGAATCGAGCAAGATGGGGCAAGCTGGACCATTGCCCCAAATAGCTATAGGTGGGTTGCAAGTGCAAACTCGCTCTCAAATTGTTGGAACCGCTCAAGAGAAGCGTGATATCGAACAAGATAAGCGAGAAGTTGGTTATTCTCCGCGAGCAGAGGAGGCACAATTTGGAGCGGCAACCAGGAAAAGAAGCCATAAGGAGAGGCTTATGGCTGCGAAAACCCACCTTGACGTTCTTGAAGCGAGTTTAGAAGAACTCTGCCAAGGCCAATGAAAGCTTCTTGGGGTAGAAAACTCGTAAGAAGAAGCTGAATCTCAGATTCACAATGTTAAGTCCCTAGTCAATCGATTGACGGAAGACACCAAAAACTCCGTGCAACATCCACACGAAGTCATGGCGGTACTTACATCCAGGTTTACATTCCTCACAAGGGCTCTTAAAGTGGGAGGGAGCAACACCCGCGTTACTCCATCACAGAACTTGAGGGCACTGGAGTCACATTGCTACAGGAGTGCTAGAGATGCGAAGGAGCTCAAGAATTTCCTGTTTGACATGGAACAGTACTTCCGAGCTACAAGGCTCGATTTTGAAGAAATCAAAGTTTCGATAGTAACTATATATCTGAATGGGGATACAAAACTTTGGTGGCAAACACGTTGGGAAGAGATCCAACAAGGTCGGTGCCGAGTGGACACGTGGGAGGACTTGAAGCGAGAGTTAAGAACTCAGTTTCTACCCGAGAACACGGAATTCGTCGCAAGAAAGAAGCTGAGACAACTCCACCAAAGAACTTTCATTCAGGACTACATAAATCAATTTGCTGCACTGATGTTGAACATACGCGACATGTCCAAGAAGGATAAGCTGTTCAGTTTCTTCGATGGCTTGAAGTCGTGGGCACAATAGGAATTGTATCAAAGGAATGCCACCAATGCGATCGGGGCAATTGCAGTCGTGGAAAGGCTCACCGACTTTGTTTCCTCGGAGGACTTGAGGAAGAAGAAACAATCTTCGGGAAATCTCCCACCCAAATATTCTCGAGGGAAGAAGTTTGAAAGCGAGCAAAAGAAAAGGAGTTCCCACAAAGGGCCAAGCTCAAAAGGCAAGGCCCCAAAATATGGCCGATGCTTCTTGTGCGGAGGACTGCATATGGTGAGGGAGTGTCCACAGAAGCAAGCACTCAACTCCTTAACAACATCATATTAAGCTTACTGGTAGTAGGAGGGCACGAATCGATACTTATAGTGGTCGATCGGTTTTCAAAGTATGCAACATTCATTACTACACCCCTATGCTACTCAGCAAAGGAGGTAGCCAAGTTGATGATGAAGAATGTGGTGAAGTATTGGGGAGGCCCGCACAATATCATCAGTGATTGGGACGCACAATTCTTGGGACGATTCTGGACCAAGCTATTCAAATCGCTGGGGTCTAAGTTATGCTTCTCCACAAGCCGCCACCCCTAGACGGATGGCCAAACTGAAAGAATAAATTCGCTCATTGAGCAATATCTTCGGCACTACGTGAGTGTCAACCAACGAGATTGGGTGAAGCTGTTGGACATAGCTTAATTTTCCTACAACTTACAGTGAAACTCTGCGTCCAACAAGAGCCCGTTTAAGATCATTACGGGACAACAATCGTCGACTCCTCACACTTAGCGATCTGTTATATCGGGAATTGTCTGTTAGCATATCACTTTGCAAAGGAATGACATTGAAATGCCGATATTGCACAGGCTTACTTGGGGAAGGCAACCAAAGAGATGAAATGAGCAGACTTGGGAAGGTGATCGTGGGAGTTTAAAGTTGGCGACTTGGTGTTGATGAAGCTCTAACAAGTATCACTCCAGTTCTTTAGGCATAAAGTGCACAAGAGATTGGTGCACAAGTACGAAGGACCTTTTCCAATTATCAGCAGCATAGATAATCTCCTACAAATTGCAGTTGCCAGCGTGGCTCAAAATTTATAATATCTTCCATGTAAGCAACTTGAAAGCCTACCACTCAGACCCGCAGGATGCTTCCCGAAGTGTTCCAACTCCTACTAGAGCCTCCTACGAGAAGCGAGTTAAAACCATTTTAGCAGATCACAAAACAAAACTACCCAACAGAGTATAGCAACATGAGTACTTGGTGAAGTGGCGAAAGCTTCGCCAAAAAGAAGCTAGTTGAGAGCCTGAAGATGCCTTACGACATGAAGAAGCAAACATCAAAGCCTACTAGCAAGCGTCGATAGTTTAAGTGGGGGAGAATGTCACGAACAGTCGTTATGCACCTGCAACATCTTCATGAACAAACCATTCGTCACTTTTGTGTGCTTTTACATATGCTTGGTAGCGTGTTTTGCCTTGGTTTTGTGTGTTCTTGCTTGTAAAGCTGCCATCTTCGTGAGACGTCGGGACTTGTCCGCCGCTTGCTTTCGAACCAATCAATTTGCTCTTTTACAAGTCTTACGGGACCTAAGTAAGGTTGTAACTAGGCTAAGTTTTTGTGGACGGATAACGCAAGAGCGCCTCATGACTTAAGCAATTTCAGTTAAGTCTGTGACTTTGGCGCAAGAGTACTTCACGACTTAGACAATTCTAATTAAGTCCGTGGCATTACCACAATGATATCTCATGACTTAAGCAATTCCAGCTAAGTCCATGATAACTCATCAAACCCTTATTAGTTAATCTTATTCTTAGTCTACTTCCAATATGGGACTAATTAGGCTGTTACAATTTCACTCACTTAAGAGTTTGATGTCCTCATCAAGGTCTAATATTAGCATAGAATCAAGCCATAGTATGGTGCATGTGAGGTATAATCTAATGGTGTCTTCATGCTCTGGTCTCGGCTCTCGTCCACGGGTAGTCCTTTCTTACTCGAGTCTCTCACAATGTCCCAATATTAGGTTAGCTCTGATACTAATTATCATGACTCGGCATAATGGGATAATTGGTCTGTTAACTTCGTTGAGTCCAAATTACTAATCAAACTGCTTAAGTTGAAGTTAATAGTAATACATCCATCTAACCCCTATAAGTCAATCTTAATCTTAAGCCATTTCCAATGTGGAACTAATCGGGATGGTACAATATGGCCTAGTTCTTTCATATGCATTACTCGTCATTCTATTATATTGTCTGTAGGATCTCTAATTCTCTATTATGTTGGGAGGAAAAGAGTGAATCTTTCAAATCAATATTTAGTTTTTTTTGTGAATTATCTTTAGGTCAGCATATATCTTTTCAAGGTATATACATTCATTGTCCTCGTACCGACTTTGTGGAACTTTATCAATTGGCATCTTTTGCATTTCAGATACTTGGAGAACAAGATTCAACCTGATCAGAAGCATAGATTTCACTTCTTCAACAGCTTTTTCTACCGTAAGCTAGTAGGCAAGGACCACGGTGGTGTCTCGGAAGGCAGGGAAGCTTTCCTGCGTGTTCGTAGGTGGACTCAAAAAGTAAATATATTTGACAAGGAGTATATATTCATACCAGTAAACTTCAGGTAAGAAATCTTTGCAAGTTGTGATCATAAAAAGTTTTGCGTTGACATGTTAATATAAGTGTTACTTGAATGACAGTCTGCACTGGAGTTTGCTTGTTATTTGTCATCCTGGAGAAGTGGCTAATTTGGAAGGCAAGAATTTATGATTGAAGCCCCATACTCTAATCCCGAGTTATGCAACTGTACTCATGCTTTATATTGTTACTGTAGATAATGAAATTGAATCAGATAAAGTGCCTTGTATATTACATATGGATTCTATCAAGGGCTGTCACAATGGTCTCAAGAACATTATCCAAAGGTATTCATATGTACATAAAGCTCAACATAGTTTTGTCCTGTAGTCTCTGAAATTGTTTTCCGTAACATAAAAATGTATGTGGTACACAGTATGTGGTAGGTAGATGTCAGAATATATATTTTTAGTAGAAGGTGGAAATTGAGACGATCAACGGTCAGCAAAGCAAGAATCTCAGATTATGAAATGTCAAACTTCATGAAGCTGGAAAAGACTTGTTAGCTCTTGTAGGATTGATCTTTGGAAATAACTGGGAAAGACGATGTTATACACATACTATTTGCAAGCATGGGCATGAGCACGTGACCTGGTATTCGTATGATGATATGCACATGGCCTGTGTCTACCAGCTTGTAGCATGTGTACATGCCCTGGAAAGCAAATCTTGATATTTGGCATCATTCCTCACCAATTCAAGTAGTCCTTGTAACGTTGTAATTAATTATTTGATTCATAAAAAATTATTTTGTATTGAGATTTTCTCCTATGTATTTTGTCTTTCATGTGTAATAAGAATCTCTAAAGTATATTCTTTTAGTCATATACAAGAATTTTTGTGTATGCACTTGCTTGTACTGTTGTTTCATTTCATAATTCTACACAACATTTCTTGTTTGTAAAGTTGTTAGATTCTTTTTATTTTTTGGGTTTTTATGAATACATGTTTAATTGATGTTCTATATACTAGTTGCACTTATTGGTTATTTAGATTTGTATCATTTCTTTATGACTTATTTTAAAATTTTTTGAGAATGACAGTTACATATGGGAGGAATGGAAGGAAAGGAATCCAGAAACAACTGAAGATGATTCTTGGAAATTTTTAAAATTAAGATTTGTCTCTCCTGAGGTTAGCTCTTCCTCTAGCTCCACATTTTTAACAAGGAAAATGGCAGCTAAACAACTTGAATTTTGTAATTCAACTTCATAATTAATAAGGTATAGTCTCGTAACTCGAACTTTATGAATGTCCTTGGGAATAATGCATTTATTGGAATTATTGATTGGCCTATTTGGTTCAATATTCTTTCTGTTTTGCCTAAAACTTTCTCTGTATATCTGTGCTTTTTTTGATGTCATTACCAAGGTATGCAATACCGTACCGTACCGGTGTTTCGAGGTTGGCTCGGTACGGTATGGTACCGTGTACCGCTCGGTACACCAAGGCGTACCGAGTGGTTTTAAATAGTTCTTCCTCTTACTGTAGCACTGTAGCAGTGATATGGTATAGCACTGTAGCACGTTCCATCCGGTAGCGGGCGGACCGTGTACCGGTATGCTGTCGGACCGGTACGTACCACCCGGTACGGGCGGTACTATTCGAAATTGCATACCATGGTCATTACTCCTCTCCAAGAATCTTTCTCCTTTTGATGTTCATATTACCCTTAACATGGTTTATTATATCGAAGATGACTACTGGCTCTTGTACTACTGTATGAATTTAAGCCATAAAGCATCTGGAGGCATAATAGTTCTCAGTTCCACTTTTATAGATCTTTCACTTCTTTTAATAATTAAATAACAACATATACAAGTGTAATATCCATGTATGTGTGACCATAATATAAATAGTATGCCTGATTGTTTTCAACCATTAAATAAATATTATATGCAATATTGTATAAATATGTAACATTAATAAATTTAATGATAATACAACTACATATATGAATACATTACATTTGACTTAAATGGATCTTCTTGATCTTGGAGTTTCTCTCTTTCTGATGCTAGTGAAAATCTCATTAGTAGTTCTTGCATGATTCAATAAAATCCTTTTGTTTGCCAATTGTGAACCTGATTTTGCTGACTTAACTTTCTTACTTTCATTCTTATTCTATATAATAGCATTGAATTGTAGTTTTTGACTTAGATAATTATACTTACTAGTTTACAAATTTTTCCCAATATGATCAATGATTCACTTTTAATATTGTTTTTGCTTGTAGCCGCCACAACAGGAGAATTCATTTGACTGTGGCCTTTTCTTACTTCACTATGTTGAGTTGTTTCTCAAAGAGGTTCCTGTTAATTTTGACCCGTTCAAGATCACCAGGTTCTCCAGCTTTGTGAGTTCCTCTTTTTGTTCTTCCTCTAAACACTTTATGCTTTGAGCTTTTCTAAATATGGTTTTAATATTACAAGTTAAGTTTATAGATATCTGTTTACTTGTGTCAACTTTTTAATATTTTTCTAAGTTTCTACATTTTTTTTTCACTTGTAAGATGCACTTCTGTAATATTATTCAAGTAAAACCATCCCATAAGTTTTAGTGCTTAATTGACTGGTATTCCAACCTCAACTTCTCCCCTTTCTTTCTCCCAAGTTTCAGCCTGAGAGACCATTGTTCCACAACCTTCTTTTTTTTTAATTTGTTGTTCATCCTATCCCCTATAACCTCAACTGGGACCAAGACAATCCTTGCAAATTCCAATCTGAGAAATAATTGTTCTTTAGCCTTATTTTGTCATTTGCTGCTATACCATTGAAGCCTCAACCTGGGACCAATAGAATCCTAATCATATGGCTGCTTCTTTATAAATCAGTATATTGAATATAATGTGGATAAATTTCAGGATTGTTGAAGTGTTATCGGATTCTTAACATGGTTCAAGTCGAAGCTTGGGCCTTGGTGTTACATTTATGTTGGATGGTTTGATTGGACCATGCCTCATTTTTTGAGAAAGCATAATATGTTGCATTTTCCTTGTTTGGAAAGCAATATTTTAAATGTTCTACAGACAAGACCGACAATAAATGACTTCATAGATAATATTGTCAGTTGTGGGGTTTGCAATTCTCACCCAACTAGGCCTTTTACGTGGAAACACATTTGAGAAATGCATTTAATTGGTTCACGTGTGATCCAGATCCCGTCTTGCTAAGGTGTTCTGTCCAGGCAACCAAGGTCCTTCCGACACACTGCAGTAGCCCACATGAGCCTTGGAGGCAAGCACCCTTGGCTATGCCAGAACTTTTGCTTGGAAGGCATGGCAGCAGATTGCTTAGAATTTTTGCTTTTTACAGTTTTTAACCATTGTTTCTTGATTTCTGCGTTCATTGTACTGAACAAGTTCTGATATTTCTTTGCTTTTGTGCCTCTATTGTGGTAAAAGAATGGTAGGTTCCATTCTTGTTGTACATGGTTCCCTAAATTATTATCCTGATGCCATAATCCTGCCTGATTGAAATTCTCTTTTTCATCCGAAGTGCGAGGTGGCATTGGATTTCTGCTAGTTGTGCAAGATTTATTGAAATAGAATGTCTGACCAGCTTACTTTGTGCTTTGTGAAATGTTTACAGCTCGGCGCTAAATGGTTTCCTCCTGTCGAGGCTTCTTTAAAGCGTTCTGTCATCCGGAAGCTGATATATGAAATTTTAAATGACCATTCCGAGAAAATCGACCCTAGCACATGCAGCATTGGGTGCCCTTCAACATCAGGGCATCCTGAAGATAACACTGAGCGAGATCAGCACGTAGAGCTGCTTTCTGCTCACTGTAGTCCAGCCATGGGAGTAATGGGTGGTGCAATATGTCAAGACACTGAAGATGGAGAAAAGTTGGATGCTGTTGAAGATTCCCAAGAAGCTGATACAACTAAAGCAGAGCACAGGGTTTGTGAAGGTTCTCAGAAAATTTGTGCCAGCAAGGCAGATTGCCAGATTGTGGATGGTAGGGAGATTAACACAAATGCCAATGAGGTTGAGGCTACAGATTGTCAGGTGCTCAGTGCTACTGGAGCAGCGGATAGGGAAGATGGTGGCCGTGAACTTGACACCAATGAAGCAGGGGAAGATGGTGAAGATTGCGGGGAAACAACTTCCAATGCTGTAAGACAGGATAATAAAAGCAGTGTAATCCACATCACGGAGGTAGAAAGTTGTGACGGCAGCTGCCAAGTGAATCAGCCTTCTCTTGAAGCTACCATCATCACTGTTGATGAGACACCTTCGGACGACAACGATGATGTTCGAGTGACATGTAAAAAGCCTGTGCAGAAGCCACGCAAGAGAGGGAAGGTTATGATCCCCGAAGGAAGGAGAGTGCGCACCCGGAGCATGACCAAAGAACAACATAATGATACATAGACTGTGTTCTTGTTTTGGTTTCTTTCAACCTGTAAATGGTTTTGTAACATGTGGAAATCTTGTTTTGGTGTTCACAGAGCCAATCAACTTTCTTCCTTATGTGGAAAATATGCATCTTTTAATCTGGTTTAAGTAGTGGCATAATTGCCATTCATCAATGGAGTAATCCTGTTTACTAACTCTTAATCACAGCTAGTTTCCATGGAGTTTATATATAAATTGTAATATTATACATAATTAATAGACTAGTATACCTAGTTAAAAATAGAATTCATACACATCAAATAATCTGTATATAGAAGGTATTTTGATGATTTATGCATGGAAAAAATTACTTCATGTGATCAGCTAGCGATATTTTGTTGTTCGATGGTTATTAAATGAAAGGATAATGTTCATTTGTGATGTGTGGTTTTTTCCTTGGAGTTGTTTGCTTGTTTGGTTGGTAAAGATTTTGTCAGGCCAACAAAGGGATCAAAACCTGTCTTCCTCACTTAGGCTGCTTTTAGTATCAGTTGTGACCATTTGATTAATTGCATGCTAATTATGTCTATTAGCATCATTATCTCCATAAGCTCCTCAGTCATAATTAGGTTTGCACATATTGGTAAAAGGAAATCCTTCCTAGCTATGCCTAATCAGTGGAGGTGATGTGAGAGACTAACCTATTGTTGTTCCTTTGTTGGTGATCAGAATAATAAATTCTTTATCATATGAAATCTGTTGTGATTAAAATAATTTTATAAATTCTTCACTATCTGAAATTTATAACATTTTCACTATATGAAATCTGTTTATGTGAACTTGGTAAAGAAAAAATAAAAAAGGCTCTGGAAAATACTGTGACGACGGTTTAACATTCATCGAGGGTTCCAAGGCAGAATAACACACTAAACTTACTAAAATATGAAAGTTATTGTTTGAGTACCGGAATTTTACAGCACTCCATTACAAAAGAAGATGATTTCATAGTAGTAAATCATAAAGAACAAATCATAAAAATGTACATCCTTGACCAATAGTTATCTAAATTTTGGCTCTACGGATGACTCGTTAAAAACCTTGAAGAAATCTCAAACACATGACAAACAAAATCCATCCTCATGGCTCGAAATCGTTCGATGGCTATAATTTTGGATCCACAACAACAGTTTCAACAGCAGGAGAGTTTGCTGGAAGCTTGTTTTGCCTCATCATTCCCGTTGCTGGTAATGCTCACCCTGTCTCGAGACAATTCCGCTTTGTAGGAATCAGAGTTCAAAACCTTCCTGCTGATGTTGTTGTATATCTCCCTGATGACAATCTCAAATGCCTTCTTCACATTTGTACAATCCAGAGCTGAGGTCTCGATGAAAAAGAGCCCTTCGGCTTCCGCAAGGCTTTTTCCTTCGTCGATGGATATGTCTCTGATGTCCTCCAGATCGCATTTGTTGCCGACCAGCATCTTCGCAACCGCGGTGTCAGAATGTGCTGCATTATGATTTCAATCACAAATGAGATGCAAAAGAACATTCAGCTCGACACCAAGTCAGCCAAAACTCGAAAGTATAAACTATAAACTACATCTGATGCACAAGAATCAGCTGATGACAAGCCGAACATGTCAAACTAAACAGGAAAAGAAACAAAAAGTTCAACAATTGGATATGTATGACGCCTTAATCTCTGTTTTTAATGGATTGTTGCACATTCAAATTTCAACTAAACCCCTGTGACTTCCATTATAGTTTCAGCTACTGCTCATGTCGCAGCCTGAGTAACAACCTTCAAGGCCGATAGCAAAAGAGACCACTTCTACACTTTGCCTTTCTCGTCTAGATTATAACTTCTGGTTTGGACTAATTAAGAAAAAAGCTGACTTCAACAATCTGCAATGTACTTCTTATCTTTGAGGTACAGTGGCAACACATCAAAGCACTCGAGTGCGTAGTAGTAGAATAGTTCTGAATGTAACTGTGTGCTTAAAATAGAGATAGAAAGCCATAAAATACCTGTGAATTTAAGTGTAAATTTCATCTAAAAAACAATAAATAAAAAAGAGGGATTTCACAATACCAAATAGACTTAGATATCTTAAAATCGTCTCTTTGCTTATAAATATATCAGAAGCTTTGAACATGATTGCGTTTAGGCTGAAATCTCACCTTTCAATTTTGTTCGAAACATTTAGACTCCTTGGCTTCAGTTGTTCTCTAGATAATCCATTAACGATGGGAAATCTTTGTATATGTCTGTGATGTTCTTAACAAAAGCTGTCTGTAAATAGTATATTTTTTAGGTAGAAATTGAAGATTTATGGAAATTAAAGAAATAATTAATGAACTATTCAGACTAGCCATTTTATGTATAACCCAATTGAAGCAACATTGATTCTATGGAAGAGTTCAGAAATCCGGAGGCTAATACCAATCCAACTTTCTCTCCGTTGAAGCTGCTGAACATAACATATTGCTATCAAGATCAACCATGACATGGAGCTTCACATATTTCTAATTCCACCTGAGTAATAATTCAAGATGATTTCATAAGGCACCCCTAAACATCAGATCTTGTGATTTCATTTTCATACAAAGAACAACAAGAACAGGAATTACCCAAAACCAGCATATATGTTAGAAGAAGGTGGAGATAATAGATCAATAGCAAGATGTCAGATCTACCACAGGAAAAGATCCAATCGTTGGTGAAGATAAGAGAACAGTAGGAGCAGATTGAGGTCAGGGACTGAAGTAGGTCGAGATCGAGAAGAGGGAGCAAAGGTGGGATCTTTGTGAGCGTCTACGTACTGTTGAGCTCCTGAAGCCAGCGGGGGACGCTGTCGAAGGTGGTGCGGCGGGAGATGTCGTAGACGACGAGCGCGCCGACGGCGCCGCGGTAGTAGGCGGAGGTGACGGCGCGGAAGCGCTCCTGGCCGGCGGTGTCCCAGATCTGGGACTTCACCTCCTTGCCGTCGATCTCCATGCTCTGCGTCTGGAACTCCACCCCGATGGTGGCCTTGGAGTGGAGATTGAACTCGTTGCGGGCGTAGCGCGACAGCAAATTGGACTTCCCCACCGCCGAGTCGCCAATGATCACGATCTTGAACAGGTACTGCTCCGCATCCTCCATCCTCTCTCTCTCTCTCTCAATCTCTGGAATCTTCACTTCTATGTATATTCTTCCTTCTGCATCTGTGTCTGATGACGGAGAGAGAGTGCGCGCGTCGGACTATTTAAGAGGTGGTGGTGGTGGTCGCGCCCTCTCTCTCGTTCGCAGTTGGTGGTGTAAATATGTGCGTTTGAGCTGGCTGTCTATTCTTTTGCAGGTGGGAGTCGATTCAGGTGGTGTGACTCGGCAGTAGATATGATGACGTTTGATCCAGATAGATTTGGTAAGTAGATTTGTCGTAGATTTACTTGTTGGGATGGTCATATGTAAGAGTGCGTGTGTGGGGGAAGTCAACGCAATGTTGACTTTAGGAAGACCTAACATTATTATTTACCGTATGAAAGAACAATCACTTTTTAGCATTATAATTTTATTTTTTTGACCAGTGCCAGGGTGTGATAGTTTTTTTTTCTTCTTATTTCGTAATATTCCAATAATAATTAATAAAAAAAACTCATCCTTTTTCTCTTGATTGTTTATTGTTTTAAGAACAATTATCATGAAAAAGCTAGACACCAATATAACAACAAAAAGGACTTAAACACAATTAGCACTTCATATTTTTCACAGCATGGGAGTAAAGACATATCAAACACTTGTGTTTGTTATGGACACAACATTTGGACTGCGCATGAATCATGGCTTTGCAGGAAACCAAATCTGGTCATGTGTGCACCAATAGTTGGACTCATTTGTCAAATACCACAATTTATGTGGAATACCACAAATCACATGAAATCACAGCTACATTAGTGTGCACTACTGCTACATGTCTATCACACTAAATTTAATTCCTGGCATATCTGCCAATATACACATCTTTCCAAGAAAAACTCATTTGGATGCCACCGAGCCGATTGACCTCTGTTCTGCTTCTTCCTCTCCTGGGAGATGTGGACTGATACTGGTCGAATGTTGAGGAGACGCCTGAAGATGATAACCAGATCCTTGGTTACCATGAAGTATTCTTAATCAATAGAGCCCCTCAGAAACATTCGAGTATTGCTTCAAGGATTCTCTTCTAAAATCTCACAAGATGGCTGGTCTACGACAGTCCCCGACTGAATCAGTTCTTACATTTACTAGACTGGAGACAACAATCGGACGAATCATTTGAAGTCAATTGGATATTTGTAGTTGCTTTCATTTTTCTTTGGCCTCAACTGACACAGCAAACTAGAATGCCATTTCTTGCAAAATTTGAAGAGTCTTCTGGTGAACCTAAGGCAGGGAACAAAAATTTAGATGCAAGTTACAATGTCCCAAGAACATACCTTTTGTAATGATCGTAAGTAGATTAAACAGTTACCCATTCTAAATGTTGAGCTGTAATTCCAGATACGTTCCCTGAATAGATTCCACCCAGGACCTAACAAACCAAAAACAGATTGGCAGCATAACAAGTAGAGATTATGATTGTAAAGCTGTTACCATCTGAATATCACGTCGCCATGGAAATTTGCTCTCAGATAATCAAACATGGCCATGAACATAAATTTCAATAAGAACATGGTACCTTAGAAACGGTTTCAAGAAACATGCCAGGGCGAACAGGGCGTGGCCTGCGACCTGTGACACTTCCCTGAAAAACATAAATGTACTTAAAAGGAAGGATAAGTTTGTATTGTTTTCTGCAAGGATTTTACTAGACAAAATTAAGGCAGCAGAACGAACCCTTCCTGCAAAACCACCAAGAGTATTCTGTTCGCTGTTAGGATCTTCATCCCCACTACCAACATTGTCTGCACCTTCATTTTTCCCATGCATCACATCACTTATCATTTTCTGGACAGTGCTTCCTGGTCTCAAGGAAACCAGCGTGCTCAAGAAGTTCACCTGCATTTCCATTAAGTGGTGTTGTGCAACACAAGTTGCAAAGATTTCAAAGAAAATAATTCAAGAGAAAAGAAGATCCAACAGAAGAAAATTGTTGTATAAATGAGAACAGATAGGAAAGATCAATAGAAAAGATTGGCCAATAAAAGGAAGGATACAATACCAAAAGACAAAATTCTATACAAATGTTACAAGATCCTATATGGAACACATCATCAAGCTACAATTTCACTGCAAGAAGCTAAATAAGGAATATTTATAATCTTTGTTATGCTATCTATCAAGAAGCATCTTAATAATCTTTGCCACATAGACAAAAGAATAAGGGTGCAATCAAGACTTCATACTGTCTTATTCAAGAAGAATGTAATAAAGCCATATGCAAGTGGATGAATCAGTCGAGATGTACACTTTTTGTAAGTTCTTGAGGGCTGAGGCACAACCTTGATTAAAGACCAAACATGCAAGTTTGACTAAGTGAGGACTGAGATGACTAGCCAATTATTCTAGCAATTGAACAGAAAAAAAAAGGTTCCACATGTGAAAAGAACAATCTATTGCTCAACAGGAAAAAAAATAGAGAAAGAGACCTCTGCTTCGGGTAGAGTATTCAGACCACGATCATTTCTTTCATCCAATAACCCACCACCCATCATATTGCGAGCTTCTTCTCTAATTAAAACAAGCCTCGCAAGCAACTTCCGATCAGGAATACTAGGTCTGGATTCCATTGTCTACAAAGTAACAAAGGCAATAAGAACTCGGAAAAGTTCCTTGCTCATGACAAATTATTACTAAAAATTAGGTTGTACAAGATACAGTGTAGCACAAAAAACAAAAAGTATAAGATGCAAACACTTCATAACTTTATATGCACCCATACTCAAAACATACCCAACATACAGCAAAGAAGGACTAGAATTTCACAAGAGGCTGTCAAACAAAAAACTAAGGCAATCAAGGGATAAGACTTGATTCTATGTGAATGTTTCAACATATACAAATAATATATATAATCATAGAAAGCTTAGGTTTAAAGTATCTGAAGCATTTAATGAGCAAATATATGCAAATTAGTTATCAACATTTCAGTCACCATTAATATGTTGTCCAGGAGATAGTGAAACAACGATGAAGACAAAGTGACATATAAAACATCTTCACTACCAAAGTGCTTGTAATGAACACCTTAGCAATACTGTGATTTCCATAGAAACATGTGTGTTGTCATGTATTGGCTAAATCCTTGAGTACAAAGCATTTGATCAACGTCCAAATGCTCAAAACAAATTAGAGAATGTGGCATCAGTAGAATTACTTCCACATAGTTATCTTCCATTTTCATATATAAGCAAGGTGATGATGGTTTGTACCGATGCAGTAATACAGAATAAAATATAACCTGGTAGAAGTTGGCAGGCCTTGTGGTCCAAGGTTAAGTAAATGAAATAATAGAAGAGTGACAAGGTACGGCATATGCTAGAGCCAAGAGAAGCCAGAATGTGTGTCATTCATACCTCTAGTAGATCATCAGCCTGGTTAGCAATATCATTAAGATTTGCCCCTGGGAGATGAACTTTAAGGCCCTTCTCACTTTTAAATACACCTCCACCTGCAGCAACCCGTCGTAGCAATTCATGCCTGCTCTCTTTATCTGGAGTTCGGCAAAGAAGGCCAATTACTTGCACCTATGACAAAACCCCAGTTAATGGTACAGAAATATCATCAAATTTCAGCATAGAAAAGAATGAGACTCACATGTGGCGGACACTTCTTGGCTAGATGGTCCAACACTGTTTGCTTTACCACCTCTAAGAGTGACTTGCGCTGGATACAATAACAACAAGTTACTTCTGCACAACAAGTGTTTAATATATTGGTGGAAATAATGCAAACAGATGGCTAATATTGCAACGAGCACTGTCTTATGTACAACTTGAGGAAGCGCCCAAAAAAATAAAAAGAAACTCCAACAACAATCTCGATGACATAATAGTGCAGTCGCAAAATAGTGTCATTTGACCAATAAAATGAAATCTGGTTGAGTAAATACCTGCTAACAGTGAAGAAAGATACTACTGCAGATATGGAGCTCATGATGCAGCTAGATGTTTCATAATAAAAAAGCATGCTTGATTGGCACAATACATTCTACAGAGATGGCAGAAAAAACATAGTCTCAATACGATTGTTCAGCTACCAATAAACTTCTCCGAGATCGACCATGTATTTTAAATTCCAAGTAATTTTTCGCTTACATCTTTCCTGTTGGACATTAGTTCCCATAGGACAGACTTCTCAGACATGAGAAGTACATAACATTCGGTCACATTTAGGTTTGCATCACAATCAAGGGGCAAATGGAATTGCAGAAAAGATTCTTCGGAAACACAGCAAAGAAGCGAACCTGGTCATCATTATCCTTCTCCGCCATCTGGATCATGTAATCGATCGCCATCATGAAGCCGGACTCCATCTCGTCGACCCTCTTACCGATCACACCCTGGGCCGCGATCTCCACCGCCACCCTCTCCGAAGCCTCGTCCATGTCCATGTCAGCCAGCTGCGCCGCCACCAGCACGGATCATAGTCTCACGCGGAACCAAGCAAACGGGAAAACCATTCATTGAGCTAGAAAGGTACCAGATTGACCATGTCCTGGAGAACAGAGGTGACCTGCTCGCCGCCTCGGAGGAGGGCTTCGTACTTGGAGGAGTCCCACTTATCGTCCTCAGCTTCCGGTGGCTGCCGATGCTGGAAAGAAGGGAAGGGAAAGGCGGCATCGGTTTGGGTGCTGCGGCAGAGGGAGAAGGGGGGTTTCTTGCGGGCCTGCCACCTCCGTTGATGGCAGAAGGAGCGGAGTGAGAGGAGGACACGAGGGGAGATGATGAGGGATTTGGGTGGGAGAGAAGGGAAGCAGGGGGAGGAGGAGGGAGATGGAAGGAAGAAGATGGCAGATCTCAACATCATGGTTTATCTTCTTAAGCGCAGTGGAAGGGGTTTTGGCGGTGACACGCCATAACAAGCAGCCGACCACAGCGAGGTTCTCGGTCCTTTATTTGGGCCATCTTCCTCTTGATGGGCCGGCTCAAAGTATGGCAAATTGGTAATTACAGCCTCATGATATTGTGCTTTAAAAGAAGTGCAATGACATGTGAACATTGAGCAACCGACTCCAGTGAGGTCTTCGGGTTCTTTCTTTGGGCCTTCTTCCTATTGATGGGCCGGCCCACAATATGGCAAATTGGTAATTACAGCCTCACGACATCGTGCTTTAAGAGAAGTGCAATTTTACGTATGGGCAGTGAACAACTAACCATAGTGAGGTCTTCGGGTTCTTTCTTTGGGCCTAATTCCTATTGCCGGGCCGGCTCAAACGATGGCAAATTGGTAATTACAGCCTCACGATATTGTGCTTTAAGAAAAGTGCAATTATATATATTATATATACACATTCTAACAATATTATGCTTTAAAAAATGTGCAATACATTCGGTTGTAACAGCTCATTTCAACGTTTCGTCTGACCGAGAAGGGTTTCTGCAGTAAGCAAGACAGTGCAATGGCGAAACCCAGCCAGCAAATTGCTTGTCTTTGAGCATGCTGACCTTATCCGGCCCTGACGAGTCAAACCGTGGCAGCGTTCGCTAAAGTACACGCGTGGTTGACCTCCAAAGTCCACGCGTGGTCTTTATCTCCCTTGGATGGATAATGATCGATTCACACCCAACATGCATGCTTCATTGTTGCATAATGTAAGCAGGTACAGTGAGCGGTGCCAATAAGATTGGCTACATACGTACAGAGAGAGAGAGAGAGAAGAAGAAGAAGAAACCAGGAAATGCTACGGTTTCACCCTGTTTAATTTTACGCTTGTGATGATGTGTTTGCATCGATGAAGCACAGGATCCGTTGGACGGAGTTGGCAATGTCTTCCGCAGTGCATAGGGATTCGCTTGAAATCTGTCAGGTAGAGATGGGTCGCGCCTCAGTAGCAACAAGGCGAAAGAAGTGTGAGATCGATGAGCAGAGTGAGCTGTTTGATTACCTTGACGTTGAAGGAGTAGAGAACGGTCGGCTCGATGGTGGCGATGCTGGTGTGGAGGATCGCCAACTGCAAGTCCTCGAGGGCTGCGATGGTCCTGATGAGCTGCCTCGGCCGCCGACGAGAGAGGATCTTGATCATGGCGTCGAAGCCCAGCAACCTGACCTCGACGTCGGCGAGGCAGGACCTGTTCTCCGCAATCTCCTCCCGGAGGCGGCTGCCGTGGTCGAGATCAAGAAGATTAACCTGGTGGCGCTGCTGGAGAGGCAGCGGCGGGCCATCCATCACCGATTTTGGAGCTTTGCCACCGCCGAAGAGTCTTCGTCTCTTTTGGGACTCCAGGCGTTGTAGGAGTTGCTCTAACTCTCTCACCAACTCGATGGCTCCACCCACTATGGACGCCTGGTCTCCCTGCATGAATCAAGGGAACAGGAACACTTATCCTGGCTCTTCGTTCTTGTGGATCCTTGCAAGATTCTTAAGCTCAATCTCGAATCTTAATATGTTTGTGATCATACCCTTTTCACATAAGATCCGGGCATGAGAGATCTCAGCACCCGGAGATGCTCATTCATCTGCCTCCTCCTGTTGCGTTCCACTGCGATGTGCGCCATCCTTTGGCTCTCCACCTCCTCGCTCGTCTTCCAAGCTCTTGCCCTCTTCCGCCGGTTCTGGAGCTGTCGCACCTCGTCCAACCTACTCGTAGCTAGTGGAGGAGGAAGAAGCGACGGACGCGAGGCGGTGGAAGAAATCACCAAGTCGTCGTCATGCAACTTGAGGAAGCAACTCTGGTCCTGAGCAGAGACTTCGAACTGGTTAAGCGCCAGCTTCGATCCGAGCTCGGCAAACTGCATGACGTCCAAGGAGATCTGGGTCGAGGGCGTGGGATCGTTCGGCATGTCTTTCACCATGTCGATGCTGTTCTTCTCCGAGCTCTTAAGTGCCTGCAGCAGCCAAAGTGAGGCCAGGGAGGCAACGGCAAGAAACAAACAAGCTGAAAGTAATTGCGTGGATGGTTGGTGGCCTTCTTCTACCTCTTTCTCAGTTATATATACGATCATACAGGAGCAGGCCCGGTGCACATGGACCAAGAAATCAGTGCAGCAGGCCACAGCAAATACTGAAAAGCTTTAGGCTTCTACTGAGATCCATCATTATCCCTGGAAGAAGACAAGATTGGAGCATCTCAGAGTGAGGAGAGGGAGAGGGAGAAAGCTGTAGCAGTAGCTTCTTATCGCATGGGTTCCAAATGTGTCTGGGTTTTGATTTAGAAAGCTTCTCAAGCATTGATTGAAGCAAAAATGAAGTCCACACCTCTGTATATTTATGCTTTTCACATGGTGGAAATCTCTCATCCACTCCTTTTTACCTTTGCCTTATCTTCTAGCTTGCAATTTGCAGGTGAACTTTGATCAATCAAACCTCAAGGTCAGTCAGATGACTGTCGAAGAAAATAGTCATGAGAAGTAAAGAAAAACATGAAAGAATGTAAATTAAGGGTGGAAGAGCTTTGCTTGGTTCTCAATGAAGTGAAAGAACATAGAACTTCGACATTAGAAAAGAAGATTTCTTTTTGTTCCATTTACTTACAGATCAAACAAAGAATAGAAGAAGAAGCGACTTCGATAATGGAAAGAAATATATAGATTGTCTTATCTGTTTACAGACATGAGTTAAAATCTTCAGGGACAAAGCCAATAAAGATATCCATCTACAATGTTCTATGACAATTCTTCACTTTGACTTCAATAATGGCCACTCAGAAAAGAAATGCCAGCTTTTGTGTTCCTCCTTGGATTTTGCTGGTACAGAGACATCCTTGTTCTCTAGAACAAAATACCTCAATCTAGAACAAAATAGTAGGTGTTTCCACACATCCTATGATGCCAGTGCAATATTCCTCCAATAATATGAGAAGCCCATAGAACACTATCAGCTTACATGAGACATCCTATTAATTAATGTATTTATTGTATGATCGATAGGTGTCATGTAAAAATATTTTATACATAATTTAAATTAATAATTATGGGGAAAATTATATATATAATTAAAAACATGAATGAAATTTTTATACACATGATTGGCCAATCAGGACTTTGGAAAGAAAGGGTCCCACACGGATTATGTCAAAGTGCAGAATAACATTGGGACCCTTCTCTGGCCCAATGAAAAAAAAGGTACGAACAATAAGTATGTCACGTAGATGACGGATAATTATACTATTTGTTCTCGCCTTCAAGTTTACCTCTCTTGTGAATGGTAGAAGTCACCATTAGCAGTGGGACCCACTTTCAGAAGTTGAGACCCGTGAACGCGCACCCGTTTGTTGTTTCCAGTTTCTCTTATTCTTTTTGGAAACTTCGAGAGCCACGTGTTTTCTGATTGTTACCCTGAAACTTACCTCTTCTCGTGAGCGGAAAAGGTCACTATTAGCATTGGGCCCCACTCTATAAGGAGACCTTCGTAAAGGTAAACGCGTACGAGAAGGATTTCTGTTGCAGTCGGATCTCTACACTTTTCCGTTTTCTTTATTCTTATTGGAAGATTCGAGATCCCCATCACCGACAAAAACTCCTCCCGCCAACCTTTGGACAGCCCCCCTTTTCCGCCTCCTTTTCTCGTCATGTAATCTTCTCTCTCTTTCTTCCGCGTAGTGATTCTTCCTCCGCTGTTCTCTCTTCAAGAGGGAAGAAGATGACTCATATCCTTATTCGACATCATTAGATTTCAATTCAGTTCTTAGATTTCTTCTTCTTTTTCTCTTCATATCGATCGTTTAATTCGGGATTTTGCACTCTTGTTGATCTTAATTGGACGATTTTAGCGCGATTTTTCGTTTTTGAGTTCTTTATTTGTTGTTAAGTCGATCGAAATTTGTGTTTGATGATGTGTTTCTCTTAATTCCGATTCACGGGGAAACCAGAGGGAGGACGATCGACAGAGGGCTCAAGCTCGAAAGTCTCAGGTGAAGCAGCGAGACGACGGCCTAACCCCTGAACAGCGCCGCGAGAGGTATCCCTCTTCCCTTGATCTGATTGATTAGCTGATGGTCGAACGGATCCTAAATACGTAGGCTGATGGGGTAATTAATTGGCAAAAAGAACTGATCTCGAGTTACGTTGATGCTGTGCAGGGATGCGAAAGCGCTCCAAGAGAAGGCAGCTAAGAAGGCTGCGCAAGCAGCAGTAGGAGTCACTACCGACTCGAAAAACAAAGACAACGCAAAGAAGTAGCAACGGGAGTTCGATCCGGCAGGTTATTCA